ATTGGATACTTTTTCTTCCATTCCTGTGATACTTTGCTAAGAAGAACATTTTCCAGCTCCATCCATGTGAACATGAAGGACGCAAAGTCTCCATCTTTCTTTATGGCTGCATAGTATGGAAGAAGCCCAAGTGCCCATCGATCCACGAATGGATCAACAAACTGTGGTATATGTACACCATGGAATACTATGCAGCCATAAAGCATTCAGGAATTCAATGCAATAACATTCAGACTTTCTCAGCAAATTGATGGCTTATTTTAAAAGTTATATAGAAAATTAATAGGGATACATTAGCCAAAGACAATTTTGAACATGTTGAGAGTTGCTCAGTTAGATAACTAAGACTTGTTTTAAAGTTACACTAAGTTACGTTGGCTTTAGTAATGGAGACATTCTGACTCAGGAATGTAAGAATCCAATGGACAAAACAGAACTTAGGGACAGAATTATGGAACTGTGGGCACTGGGTATCCAACAGAATCACTGAAGGAAGGATGGAGTATTCCACAAATGCTACTGGGGGAAACCTGGCTCTTCACGGGAAATCATTTAGGAGTGCTCTTTTTTTTTTTTTTTTTTTTTGCAGTTTTTGGCCAGGGCTGGGTTTGAACCCACCACCTACGTCATATGGGGTCAGTACCCTACTCCTTTCAGCCACAGGCACCGCCCAGGAACAGAATCACTAGAGGAAGGATGGACCATAAATTGTGCTGGCAGAAACCCAGCTCTTCATGTGGAATCATTTAGGAATGCTCATTTTTGACTAAATGTGGCTTAAACCAGTCCTTGTTAAACTGGAATGCTCATGAAAGTCACCTGGACTTTGTTAAATGACAGCTTCTGACTCAGTGGATCTGGGGTGGGCACTCATTCAACAGTTTTAGTGAAATCGCAGTTGTAGGCCATGTTGCTAATTTATGAATTACACCTTGATTAGCAAGAGCTTAAACCATAGGAATATTAAGTGATCATTTAACAGAGAGGTCATCTCCAGGATATTCTGGCAGCTCAGTGCTATCACCAGGCAGAGAAAGACCTTTTATCTTCCTGCTCTGTCATACATTAGCTTGCAGGTACATGTTGGCCTTTTATTTTCGTATTTGTTACCTTATTGGCCACAATGTCTGTCACAATTCCAGACCACACTTCAATTCCATATGAGGAGGGGGAAGGGCTGAAGCAGAGCCTCTCTGCTTGAGTCTGGCCCTATCACCAAGAAAACAGTGCTAGTCCCGGAGGCTCCAAGCACAATTTCCCTTATTTGTCATCTGCGTGTCACATGGATACCCCTAGTTAAAAGGGCAGCTGGAATAGAGAATGTATTCGTTTTCTTTGGCTGCTGCAATAACAAATTGCCGCAACTTAGTAGGTAAAACCTACAAATTTATCATTTTTTAATTCTGGAGGCCAGAGTCCTGAAGGGAAGGTTTTTGGACAGGAACGTGATCCATCTGAGACTCTGTGGGAGGATCCTTTTCCTTCCTTTTACAGGCTCTAGAAGCAGTGGTTCTCAACCTGTGGGTTGCGACCCCTTTCTAACAGTGAAAACACATTGCGGCATTAGGTAGGTTGAGAACCACTGCACTAGAGGCCACCTGCATCTCCCTTGCCCCCCGGCCCCTTCCTCTCCCTTCAAAGCCAGCAGTGTAACATCTTCCAGTCTTCCACTCTCTGACCTCTGCCTCTGTCCTCACATCTCCTTTTTGTCACTCTGACTTTCCTGCCCTCCTCCTAGACGGACCCTTATAAGGACCACTGGGCCTCCCTGGATGATCCGAGAATATCTCTCCATCTTAAAACCTTAATCACATCAGCAATGTCCCCTTTACTGTACAAGACAACACAGCCATAGATTCTGAGGATTGGTACATGGACATTGTGGAGGACCATTTTTCTGTCTACCTAAAAAATATCTAGATCACTTCCTTAACCCATCATTTTGGTGATCTGTAAAGGAGAAGGTGGTTAATTGGTTTAGCCAATCAACAGTGTTTGCCATTTTTGTGAATATGGAAAAGTAATTGAATTACTTGCCTATCTTATACTATGCACAAAAATAAATTCCAGGAAAATTAAAGATCTAACAATTAAAAGTAGGAAATATTTAGAAAAATGTGAGATTTTTTTTCATATACTGATTCACATTTTAAGAGGATTTTAAAATAAAATATAAAATGCTCCAATTATAAAGGAAAGGATTGATAAATATGAGTGGATTAAAATTTTCGTGTGTGTGTTTGTGACAAAAGACAATATGCAGAAACCTAAAAAATAAGATGCAGCTTGGGAGAAGGTCCATAAAATGTGTAGAATCAACAAAAGTTTAGTAACAAGAACATTCGAATCATTTCTACAAATCAATAAATGATACTGAAAATCCACAGGACAAATGGGCAAAGAATATTAACTATCAGTTCACAGAAGGGGGAAGTCCAAATAGCCAATAAGCATATGAAAAGATACAAACATCATAGACAAAAGGCAACATTTATGAAATACCATTTTATACATACCAGACTGGAGACAGTTTGGAAGATGAGGTTAGGTATTGGGGCAGATGTCCTGGGTCATTTTTGCTACATGCACTGTCTTCTTTGCTACTCCCCCAACAGGTCAAGGTCTTTGAACTTGCTCTTATCTCTGACTGAGCAATTCAGTACTTTTTGAAAAATTTCACTTTACTATAAGGGTATATATGATTGGGTTACATTGTTTGTATTTGAGTCCTTTGCCCAGGAGGTGTGCCATATACCCATTAGGTGGGAGCTCACTAAGTCCCCTCTTTCCCTCTCCCAGTCCCCACTTCTTAATTTCATTGCATTTTTCTCTGGTGTGGGCCTGTAGTTATTCATCTACTAGTTTCAAATTAGTATTCAGTACATAGGGTGTTTGCTTTTCCATTCTTGAGCACTTCAGTACCTTTGCCAAGTGTGATAGTCAAAGTGCTGCAGAGAAACACAGCCACTAAATGTGTGTGTGTGTGTGTGCGTGCATGTGTGTGAAGAGACTTATTTAAGAAATTGGTTCACAGGATTGTGGAGACTCAGAAAAGAATTACAGTGTGGGTCCAAAGGCAGCCTGTTGCAGAACCAGATGAAATCCAAAGCCCCGCTCCTGAGAGACTCCTTGCATGGGGCAGATAAGCCTTTTGTTTTAC